GTAGAAATCCACGTACTTCCCTTCATCGGTTCATCGGGGTCCATCTGCATTCATTTTGTATATTAATAACTGTCTGATACCTACATATAGCAGGAGGCCCTCTTATTTCTCTTTTTCACACACTAATTATTGGTTTGCTATGAAAGCTTGAGCGTTACATATTTCTTACGTTGCTTATATGATAATGATTGGCGCTAAGTTGGAGAAGATGAAGTCGTAACGACCGAAATTTTTTCGGTACGTAGCTCACCCTGCCCATACGTGCTACCCACCAACAATGATTCACAGAAGTTCAGTCTTTATGCACCAGAAAGAAGAAGTGAGAAGTGAGTGAATTTCATTGTAACTACTTACTTACCTCACTGTTTCTGTTGTTATTATTGTTATGGTTGCAGGCTGGATAAGTGTGATGTGACGGAAGAGGACTAGCCGGATAACTGAAAGGAGATGGTGATGGAGCTGGACTGGACTCCCATGATCGACTGTCTTCCAGCTTGCGCTCATTGCTGTCGTGACAGAAATACTCCTTTGGCTAAAAATGAATAGATCTGACGTATAAATTTTATATTTGGAAGTAGTAGCATTTGCTTTAGTTTGTTAGTATGAAAAGTTGACGCAAAATCACAAGGTCTGGTCAATTTAGCAAATTCATTCTCATACAACACATTCGTCGTTTTCGGAAAAAAATACGCGTCAAAAACCGCTATCGACGACATGGTCCCCTTATCCTACGGACACAGAGCTGTCAAAAACGTACTCATACAATACAATCTAACATCACTACGCAACCGTCCGGTTACCGTAACCCTGGCGCCTTCAAATGACATGCAAGATCGCCGCGACCACATGCTTCGTACTGAGCTCGAGGTCGCGGATTCGGATCTCGTGATGGGCGACAGCGAACGTCTTCTGCTACTTCGAAATTGTTCTTCGTAAATCTTACTCAACTAAAAAAACTTTTGATCACAGCGCGCACGGTTCAAAAACCGTTAGTGACAGCTCCTATGCAATTGTTCGTGTTCTGTATGCCTCAGTCTTCCCTTCAGGAAGGTTTAGTTGTTCAGTAGTTTGGTTAGCGTTGGTTCTAAACGCTGCAAACAATCAAGCGTTCTCGGTGCCTTTTTTATACTTTCGCTTTTCGGTCGCAGCTTCTAGACCTGTCAAGGTGAAATTCCATTAATTAATAGGCGCGTCATGACCCTCAGGTGTACATTCAGAACAGGGCCGATGGTAAGTGACACTAGGACTAAGTCAAGGAGTAGGGAAAAGCGCAAGGAGCAACACCATACTCACAGGCTCAGTTCCACGTGTTGTAAGTGGCTCACTCATATCTCCCCCACCTCCTCACGACATGAGCGGCAGAAAGTGTAATATTGAAGTGAGAGAAATCTTCCAGTCTGCTCGATGACACAAGGACGAGAAAGATGGAATAGGATAGAAAAGAACAATTAAGGGATCGCAGCTGATATCGAAGTAACAACTTGGAAAGGACGGAAATAAGTTCAGACCACGAGCTCACTCAGTGCGAAGTATGTGGTCGTGCGGGTTCGTATTTTACTTAACGGCTCCAGGGTTACGGTAGCCTGACGATTGCATACAGATGTTAGACTCTAGCCCTACTCATTCGTAACATTACTTTCATTAGTTGTATTATATTGAAAAGTGGTTATTAGTTGTATTAAAAATTATTGCCAACATGATGACGAATAGACCAAGAGCCCAAGGCAGTGTTGTGTACAAGTATAGTGGCAATACAAAGGAGAATGTACGATATAACCTACACTGCTCTCTTGCGCATAGTGCTCCATTGCACTGCAATGTGGCGTTTTTACTACATATGTGCTATTGAATAGATTATAATCGATTTGGTAAGAACCATTGCTTCTTTGATACGTAACCAGCTTCCGAAACCTGAATCAATTTTTTTCAATTTTTTCTGAATTCAGAAAGTAGAAGGAAGAAACATGTGAAAGAGGAACTAGAAAGAGAATGGAAATGCAGAATGTCGCGCTCGACTTTGATTTCAACTTGCTATGATTCCGACTTTTTTATTCCCAGTGTTCTATTATAAAGTGTGATTTTAAGCTGAAAACGAAAAAAATGGGTACAAACTCACCGATGTCCCCAGAGAATTTCACAAGGTAAATAACTGGTTTTTGCTTGCGCTGTCATACCGGTCGACTCGACAATCCCTTCTAATGTATGCTATACAAAGAGCAGACATATGATCTCGAACTTGTGCTGACAACAACGAGCTAGCCGTGTACTCGTAGAGAGGTGAATCTTTGTTGATCACATGACACAACGTCGTTGGCCATACACCTGTGAAGAATGAATTCTTTTGAGATGTATCTCCTTTTTCAAATCCTTGATCAGACAACAGCCCAGTGGCCGCAAATGGTTGCATTTATTTCTACTGAGCCTTGGCTAAGTCGTTCTCTACTCTCATACTATAACATGTA